TGTGTCACTGGGTGTTGGTCGCTCGTTGTACGGTCCTGCTGGGGTTGAACGACATATTCAACCCATCAACAGAGGACTACAGAATACTTCATAACTTTAACTGTCTTGTGGTGCCCCAGTATAACTCTGCTGTATGGCTGAGTGGGGTTTCTGGGACTTAACTTTAACTGTCTTGTGATGCCCCAGTATAACTGTGCTGTATGGCTGAGTGGGGTTTCTGGGACTTAACTTTAACTGTCTTGTGATGCCCCAGTATAACTGTGCTGTATGGCTGAGTGGGGTTTCTGGGACTTGTTAACTTTAACTGTCTTGTGATGCCCCAGTATAACTGTGCTGTATGGCTGAGTGGGGTTTCTGGGACTTGTTAACTGTAACTGTCTTGTGATGCCCCAGTATAACTGTGCTGTATGGCTGAGTGGGGTTTCTGGGACTTGTTAACTGTAACTGTCTTGTGATGCCCCAGTATAACTGTGCTGTATGGCTGAGTGGGGTTTCTGGGACTTGTTAACTGTAACTGTCTTGTGATGCCCCAGTATAACTGTGCTGTATGGCTGAGTGGGGTTTCTGGGACTTGTTAACTGTAACTGTCTTGTGATGCCCCAGTATAACTGTGCTGTATGGCTGAGTGGGGTTTCTGGGATTTGTAGCTGTCTGATTCTCATCCTTGAGATGTTAATCCTGCAGAAAACAAATCTGGATGGGAAACACTTGGAGAAAAAAATGCTTTTCTACCCATGGTATCCCATGTCATTTTACACTGTTGGCTTCTTGTCGGCTTTGATCACCAGCCTTCATTTCATCAATCGTCTGGTTAGTTTCACTTCCGCGAAAAGGCTAATCTGGTCATCAAATGCCTGCAGAAGTCATATGTGTTGCAAAAGACGGAAATATCGAGGTCAAGTTATAAATGAACAGACGACATCTACATCTTCGGATGAATGCAGAAGTAGAAATTTCACCTTCTTCCACCGGTGCCACGTTTTCACTTGACTGTTTGCATTATGCAAGGGGATGTCAACCTCTTTGCTCAAGCCCAACTACAAGGACCAGGGGCCTGGTCTGGTCTGACCCTTTTCTCCAAGACTTCTCTTCTGCGGATGGTTCTTCTAGTCACACTCGCCATCTCCATGGACTGTGAGTCCCTGGCCTCCTCACAGCGCAGTACAACACTATCATCTGGAAAGGTGCCAATTAATCTATATATATATATATATATAAAACAATATTAAGAAACAAATTAGGAGATACAGTTAATAGAGGGGGGTAGCCCAAGATAGGAAGGCGTGGCTGTCAAACCCTTTTAATTCTGACAGCTACTTTTCATTTCAGAAATCACTGGTGGTGTAGCTTATAGACTACAGATATAGACTAACAATTTTTAATAGTTATTATGATACGACCACCGTAGGTTGTAGCTTACAGACTACAGAGATAGACCAACAATTTTTGGTACAGACAGTATGATAAAGACCACAGTGAGTTGTCTCTCTTGCCCGTTGACTAGTAAACCATAGTCGATGAGCTGGTCACTCCTGGTTTAGGATGTATGCTCTTTTTTTTTTTCTTCTTTTCTCTAGACCCTATTCCCCCTTTCAGCATCAGATTTTGAAGACGTATCTTGTGCAGGCCTTGGTGTGTACTACACAGATACTGGTATTCATAAACTGAGATATTGCATCTATCCACAACTTGCATGGGTGACCTCTAGTTTTGCTTCTGATGTGTCTGAATGAGAACGCTCTCTGTGCCGGCTATCTTGTGGTAGTCTGGGCACATGTCCGAACCATGTTATATGTTGTTTCTTGGTTTAATTTAGCACTAGTTTTGTCCCTACTTGTTTCCCGATTGTCATAATTTCTTATTTCGTCTTCTCTTGTTACATTTAGGATCTGTCACACATTCTTCATTTCTGAAGTTGTTCTTGTAGAGGAGTGGCTGGCCAAACAGTTAGAACACTGGGCTCTCAAGTGGGAGACCCAGGTTCAAATCCTAGGTAAGGCTAGGGATTTTTTTTCTGTCAGGGGCAAAATAAAATCCTCACCTACACAGTCGTGGCGACAGCACAAGCCATGCGGCCGTAAATCCTCAGGCTCAAAGACCTCCTGCCTACACCGCAAAAGTGGTAAAATAAAGGCAGTAATAGGCAGTTTTGGGAGTTGTTTTTGTTCCTTTTGTTGTTAATTTCCACGTTTGGCCTGGTAACAGTGTTGGTAAGAATACTGTGCTGAATATTTCTCTTTTGGTGGTCTAGACTCCAGTAGGAGATGCAGGGTAGAAGAAGAAGATCAGCGGGGACTGATCCACGGACCTCTACTGGCAAGTTAGTGTACTCTCCACTACAACATCAAGTCTACATCTGGGTAAAGTTGGTTCAGCCATCACCAGATAGCTCAGGCTCTCTGAGCAACATAAGACATAACATTTGTTCTCTACTATTCCCTATCTTTTCCAACGATGAGAAAGACAAATCAATGAGAAAATGAAGAAGCAATGTTATTTAAACAGCAAAACATGGTCTCCCAAAAGGAAAATCACCAGTGTTAGAAACAAAATTTTTTTCAAGAACCAGACAGTAAATCTTGCAATTCTACAGGTTAATTGTCTAACAGATATGACTAGGGTCAACCTTTGCACACTAATCCATTTCAGATTAATTCTGTATAATTTTGCTAGTAACTGGAGGGGTGGGGGGGGGGGGAATATGATGAAGGGAACTGGCTGACCCACCTCAGGCTGTGACCTAGAATATGTGAAGAAATAATTCGTACCCCAAAAGCAGAATCTGCTCTGGGAATACCTTTTTCTTTAATATCCTGTTATTTACATATAACACAATTTATTATAATAGAATATCACAGTGATCTACATTATCTACAGGATGCTACATAAGCTCAAATAGTCAGGTGTTTATGCCCTGGTAATATCTCTGCCACTGTTACAGGAAAGTTGCACTCTCTGTCACAGTTAGCAGAAAGTTGCAATATTTCTCACTGTTACTGGAAAGTTATAATCTTTGGCCCCACGTTACTGGACAGTATGATCTGTGCCACTGTTACTGGAAAGTTGCAACTGCAATCTTTGTCACTGCTACTGGACAGCTGCAATCTTTTCCCAATTAGTAGATAGTTATTTGTGTGTCCCTATTACCATAAAATTATAAAATGTGTCCTTGTTCCTGGAAAGTTGCAATCTTTGTCCATGTTGCTGGACAGTTAGAATCTTTATCTGTGGTGAAGTGGTCAAGCCTTTTGACATGCGTCCTGAATAGTGGGTTTGTTTCACAATGTGTTGTTCAATTGATGAGTGCAATTTTTATAGAGCTCCCTAAGGATGATCGCTGGTTCCATGGTGTTAGCCCTTTGTAGGACGCTCTTGGCTCACCATTCTGTGGAGAGAGAAACAGCCATGTGGAATAGCCCACAGCAGTAAAGTTGACCCTCTTGACTTTAACTGTGTTTACCCTTAACAGGGCAGATGGAATGCTGTGTCACAGTTTTCAACTAGGCTGGGATTTCTGTGCCTTTTGGCCCAACATGCTAAATTTAAGAAAATCCTTAACTAGCTGCCTTTTATGACATGCTTGTTAAAGAGAACTGTGTGTAACAGCCCCTCCCCACAACCTTTTTAATGAGGTCCCAGAACCGACAAGAGAAGCTGTTACCTGTAAGCTGCAACTTCTGTCCTTGTTGGTGAATGTTACTCTGCCATCATCTGACATTTTGTAACATAACAAGGTGGACACTCCCCAAGCTCCTCCCCACCAACTTCCAAGTGACAGATATCAAACATTTGATAATTCATTTCACAAAGGCATTGTCAAATAGAATCCAGAAGGGCAATGGTTAAGATTTCACAGCCACACGTACAGTAACTGCAATAAGACATTCACTCTACTGGCAAGTTACATTCATTCACATACTTGCCTATCATCTTTTGCTGCCAATGCCAACAGCAAGAAAGATCTTCAATAATTAGTGAATATTTTAAACCAGTCTGGTTCAAGCCACAGCAAGAACAGCCTTGAATAACCGGTGCCAATTTGAAATCAGCTAGTTTCAAGATGCAATAAAAATAATTGTGAAGAAACCAGTATAAATTTGAAAATCAATTTGCATCACTCTGCACTGACTATTCAGTGTGAATCCAAAACCAACTTGGCTACATTTAGCAATGAGAACCAATGGGAATAACCAGTGTAAGTTTAAAAATCAACTGGGTTCATTCTGTTACCAGAATAGTCTTGAATAACCAAAGTAAAGATGAACAATTAGTTGGCTTCATTCTGTACTAAACATTCATTGTAAATATGAAACCAGGTGAATTTATTCTACAATAAAATCAAACAGGGTAAATATGAAAATCAACAGGTGTCATTCTGCAATAAAAAAAGTTATGAATAATCTTATAAATCTGAAAAATCAAATGGCCTCATTCCATACTGAACAATCAGTGTAAATATGAAAATCATCTGAATTAATTCTGCAATAAGAACAGATTTGAACAACTAGAGTAATCTGAAAATTAGTTGGCTTCATTCTATAATAAGAACAGCCTTTAATATTACGGCACCTTTGAAACATGAAGAGGCTTCGTTCTGCACTGATTGATCATATGAAACCAGTGGGCTTGCACTGAATGAGTGTAAATTTGAAGCATGTTGAGTCTCTGCTGCAGCAAATACAGCCTGAAATCAGTGTAAATGTGATATCTGCTGGTTTCAGCAATTTCATGAATATAGTATCAAAATACATAATATACAACTTTGTCATTTAGCCATGTCTGGCTTATAACTGTTGACAATTGGGGCACATTTGGTTTTCTTTTCAAGGGCTAGTGCAAGTCTGCATCTGAAGGGAAACAAAATAATACAGCCATCATGATTCTGATGACCCACACAAGATATCTGTTTGCAATCTGGCAATATCAGTCGCATGTGCTCTTCAGTGCTGGTGATGGCAGTTAAATATAAACATTCCGTCTGAAACAACTGCAGCTGGATTTCAGTCAACACCATCTCTCATCTGTGAAAGAGAACAGAAAAATGAAGCGAAGAGTATCTTAATAAATAAATAAAACCATTCTTCTTTGTTCCCTGGAAAAGAGTGTCCCATTTATCAGACCTGTCCTTCAGTTTTCAAATGCAGGTGTAATTTACCTGGGGATGGTTGCTGGAGCCATGGAATTCATCAAGGTCTGTGCAGCACTCTCCTTATTGATCTGCTTTATGGAAAGAGACGAAGCCATATGGGATAAAACCCAGTGTACTGAGGTCAATCAACTCGCTTCTTAATATGCTATTAGTAACCACATTTGGCGTCAGACTCTGGCACGCATGTGTGTAAGGTTTACATCCTCTAGATCAACATTTCTCAAACTTGTTTCGCTACACCACCTTTGTCAGGTACCCCACAAATCTCGCAGCCTACCGACCTCTAAAGCAGTTTGAATACTTAGGAAAAGAAGAAAGAACAGTGCAAATTTAATGTTTAGTTGTCTTTAATGTGATGAATGAAATTGAATGAATTTTACATTATTCTCTTTATATTTAAGGAAGTTTATAGTTAATTGTACCCTCAAATCACTTGAAGGTTGCTCCTATGTCTGGTTTTTTTTTTTAAGCATTCAATGAGAATGCACTGCAGCCTTACCAACAGCATTGTTTTCTGAATACGCCTGCATCCAGAACTCTTCTTGGCTTCCTTTGTGGTATTTCTGTTTTAAACTGCTGTCTTCGCTGATCTCAAGCAGATTAAAAAAAATTCTTGACTACTGCTGCGGCAACCCTGACATACGCTTGCGGCACCCAGTTTGAGAACCACTGCTCTAGACAAGAAATCAGGTAACTGCAGTTCCTACTTCATAGCAAACAGGTTTCCCTATAGCTGCCGTATCTGTGCCAACGAACAATCAAACAGAATGTCCATCACAGTCTCTTTAGAACAAACTGACACAGGCTGCAGTCTAAGCAAACCCCAACAGCACACTGTGCATTAATTACATAAAGCAACAGTCAGAAAACAGTTCAAAACTGGAAATGCAGTTCACCATCAATGGAAGCAGCTGGTACAATAGATTAGTAGTCACACACACAATTAATCCCATCAGGCACCACAAGACAGATTCCATGCACTACAACCGATGCTGTCTAACCATCAGCTGCTTGTTCTTCTCCTGTACCAATTTTCATGGGTAGTGGCCTCATGACCTACTGTTTGTGATTTAAAAATGTCATGAGATTTTTATGTGTAGAACCTGCCCAGGAGACCTCTGTGTTATTATTCACCATTGTACAGGAAAGCTCATTGTCTAATGTGGGTTTTATAGAATCATTCTGAGAACACTGTAAGTTGCTAGTGAAGGTTCCAACTTCACCTGCAGATGGGTTGCCTCGTAACTGTCCCGTTGGCCAGTGAAAATCACAAAAACGTCCTTCACTGTCCCATTTGAAAAGTAGTCAAAAAGATCAGACCCAGCAAAATCTTAAAGCTCGGACACTGTAGTCGGACAAAAAGCACATGGAAATAAATAACCCACAGAGAAAGCTGGTTACCCACGGCAGAATTCAATCCACATTCATTGAGCACAAACTGAGAAGGTGAAAACTGGAATATATTACGAAAAAGGAAAGCTTTAAGGCAAGAGAGGTAAAGGAAGACCAAGAGAGAGAGATAAAAAGTTAAGCATCATCACATGTAGAAACATCTCTAGATTAAATTTAAAAAAAAAAAAAATTACACACAGAAGACTGTGGACAAAAAGATGATACAATGCGAGAATTTTAGGAAAAAACAGCAGGCAGTTTCTAATCGCACTATCAAAGACATTCGTGGAAAAAGACTAGAAAATTGTGCAGTTATAAATTTTAGACCAGTTTTGTGTGTGTAGAGTAAATGTCAGACCAATTTGCTGAGCAGTGTGAATCTTGGACTAGTTTTTGTGTGCAAAGTAAATGTTAGACCAGTTTGAAGTGCAGGGTAAATGTTAGACAGTTTGTTGTGCAGGGTAAATTCTAGACCAGTTTGTTGTGCAGGATAAATCTTAGACCAGTTTGTTGTGCAGGGTAAATGTTAGACCAGTTTGTTGTGCAGGATAAATCTTGAACCAGTTTGTTGTGCAGGGTAAATGTTATACCAGTTTGTTGTACAGGGTAAATCCTAGACTAGTTTGTTGTGCAGAATAAATCTTGGACCAGTTTGTTGTGCAGGGTAAATGTTAGACCAGTTTGTTGTGCAGGATAAATCTTGGACCAGTTTGTTGTGCAGGGTAAATGTTATATCAGTTTGTTGTACAGGGTAAATCCTAGACTAGTTTGTTGTGCAGGATAAATCTTGGACCAGTTTGTTGTGCAGGGTAAATGTGATTCCTGTGCAGGGTAAATGTTGGACCAGCTTGTTGTTGCGCAGGGTAAATGTGATTCCAGTGCAGGGTACATAATGGGCTAAAGAATTAGAAGATAAAGGGTAAAGAATACACAAAGTTGTGCAAGGTAAATATGAATCAGACCGCTATTTTTCTTCTTGTGCTCTTTATCCCCCAATGGAGCACAGGTCCTTAATCAACTCCTATCAAGTCATTCAACATTTGCTACTGCATTCAGCTCACTCCATGTTTTCCCTACCATTATAGCTTCTCTTGCTTCTTTCTCCATTTGTGTTTAGTATGCTTTTATTTCTATGCCTCTGTGGGTTCCAGTGTAAAGACATTCTAGTTACAATGTCATTATACTTGTATTAGCATAGCAGCTGCCCCCCCCCCCCCCTTTCCCCCCAACTTTCTCTTAGCTGGCTGGGTATTACCAGGGGATATGGGCGGCGCTCAAAGCTCAGGGAAGTGGCCAAACAAACATTAAATTAGACTTGCCATCGGAACTGAAATCGCACTGCTGCTAAAGACTAGGATGCAGCGCTTATGGCAAGGTCCCAAGGGATATGTTGTTGGTTCAAAACTCATAACTTATACTTGCTTCTCAATTTTCTTTTTAATGGTTGGTGAGGTTTTGTGGCTACTTTTTGTTTTGTTTTTAAGAAATGAGGTAGCTAACCTCTAGACCAGGGCTATTCAACTAAGTTTACCGAGGGGCCAAAGTTTGGAAAATGAGTATCGTCACGGGCCAGAGGGCTAAACACCAGCTGAATAGCACTGCTCTAGACCAAGCCTACCCTTAGTCGACTCTTAAAACATGTAGGGTAGGGTGCAGTGACATGATTCCTTGCTTCCGGTGTGACACAGGCCCAAATCACATTGTTGTGCAGGGGAAATAGCATGTTCATTTACAGTCAAGTAAAAAGTAAAGGACCCTCTTTCACACTTCAGGTGTACTGGGCATATAGTGCTAGACCAATCGGCACTCGCAGGGTGATGCAGTCAACATCATGCCAGCCACCTTTACTTCCCAGGACTTCACCCTAATACCCACTCAACACAGGGTCAACCTGGGAGCCAAGGTCATTTAAAAAAAAAAGTCTGGTTCAGTTTGGACTTAAACCCCACAAACTTCCAAAACACCACGGCAGCTCCCTAATTTATAGTGCAAGGAACATATTACAATAGATTGCTGTATAATAAATACCAGACTAATCTTAAATCATCAAAATATGCATAGCATTTAACAGCTGGGATAAATCAAAAATCAAAACTTACTACTTTGCCTGGTCTTGCCCAAGTTAGGATGATTCCTTCCTGACATGCTGTCACTATACACTCATTTCGGAATGTCAATGAAGTAAGTCTTTCATGTGAAACTTTCTTGCACACCAAAGGCTCCAGAATGGGCACCTGGTCGAGCCTTGGGCATGCATGGGTGCCATAATACTTCATGGCACTATCTACAGCACGGACGTTATTTGATTTCAAAACTGCTGACTTATCACTGTTTTTGGAAGCTAAGCTAAAGTTTCTCTTATGCTCCTTCTTATCATTTGCTTCCTTCCGCTCGGATACAGCCATGGGTGCTAGTCTGGAGCTTGCATTCATCACAGTATTCGGTACAGGCTGGACATGACCATCAGAATTTGCATTTGAGGAAATATCGTTATGTACAACTGTTCCAACAGAGTTTGACTTCTGTGAATTAGCTATGCTGTTACAATGTGGCATTACAGACGAAAACGCTGAATTCACATTAATTAACCCTGCACTGCTAGTCCTAGATTTACCAAACGGTTGTTTCAATACATCTTCGGTAAGGTCCCACAAACATAATTCAGTGTCTTGCCCCACAGATCCAAACCGATAGGAAAGAAAGTTCAATGTTGGGCTGGACGAAGAATTATGATTGGAAATGCCTATGTGTTTTCCATTTGGATGCTGCAGAGGTAAGCCGTTGACAGGATGATTCTGAGCTATGCTGGTTTCATGACTGTTTCCTCCACTGTCTAAGGCTGGTGACACAACATCAACATCTGGCCCAGTTATACCGCTGGTTTCCTCTTTACAACATATACATGTATAAGGGTCAAAAGCCACCATGTTCACCCAGGACTTATGACCGTGACCTCTGCACACAACACGTTTTTCATGGAAAGACCACACTGTCACCAGGTCATCCTCGCCTCCAGTTACCAAATACTTGCCGTCTGGTGACCAACACACACAAAGTAAACCTCCAAAGAAACTCCTCATGGTCCCCAGTAACTCCATAGAATTAAAGTGAAGAACTCGAAGATGCCCATCCTGACCAACTACGGCCAGATACCTAGAACAAGGAGAGAAGGCAAACTCATTGATGGCCCCTTGCCCTATAACCCACTTGTGCTGTGGGTTTCGTGTGCTTTTATTCTTACACGTGAAGATAGAAAACCCGTCTCCCTGTTTGAAAGGCTGGTAAGCTGGAGGAGTCTGTCCACATGGAAGTTTTTCATTGTAAACGAACAAGTGACCTGAGCTGTGAGATACTAGAAACTGGCTCGTGGAGCCTGGTACCCATTTGATGCAGGTCACTTTAGTTTTGTCAATTAAACGCTGGAGAAGAAAAAACAAATATTATTCGACTAATTCAGGTTTTAATATTGAGTTATGAATTTATAATTCTAATGTTATTTCAATTCTGACAGTAAAAAGTTGTTGAACCACTAAAGACAAGAAATGAAATCTAAATGCATGTGAAAATTAACACCTGAGAGAACCAATGAACATTAAATGGATCAAGCGATGGAAATCTGGCCTTAAATTTGAGGGGGCATATGGGGCCTTATCGTGTGTTAAATCAGACATGGAGGTCAAGTGAAGACTTGCTATATCTTGGTTACATCAGACTTAAATAAGTCTGGCAAAACTACTGTAGAGACTTAAGCAGAGAGATCACGGAGATTATAAATGGCTTTGAGTTATTCCATACCGCAATTATAAAAAATTTCCTGGATATGCATGGTTGCTGAGATTTACACAATAAAGTATTGTGTGTGCAGAAGTTGTGTTATGAAGTCCTTCAGTTTTGGATAGTAGTCTGCATGTTTATGGTAAGCAAAAGGCACACTTTGTGAGATAATCATCTTTCCACCAGGAATCTACTCATAAACACTATGGCCATCTTATTGTCACGTGACACAAAAAAAATCAGAGAATAATGTCAGGGTACTGATAAGAGAGGTTTGAGGTGTCAAGCCTAATTCCATACATTACATGAGAAGGAAATGGGTGAATTGACTGGGAGTCTTGTGAGACGTACAAGTGGCCCAAATGGCTGATGATGATGATAAAACGGGACAGGTTTCACTTTTTTAATTTACATAAAATTCTAGTTTTTCCTATCATGATTTTGTTCCAAGCAATCACAAAAGGTTATCAAGATTATTTTCTTGTCTTTCCTGCACTTTTTTCAATAAATCGTGTCAATTTTGCCAGTGTTTCTCTTCTTAAATTATCTACATAATTTAATGTTTTTTTAATGTTTATTAAAAGTTTTCCAGACATCTCAATCTCTTTCTAAATATTCAGATCAACTATGGCTGTCCAAGAAACTTTAAGCATTTTTCTGTCAAACCACATACATAAAACCTCAAAGAATTTTTTTTTACCTTGTATAATAATTGTCCATGACTCATAGATACGTTTTTTTTAAAGTCCTTGCATGCAACATTCAATAATTTCTTTTTCTATCCTCTATTAACAGGGATTTATTGTACTGAACAACAGAGACTGCACACTTTTCTGTAAATACACATATCCTAAGGAATTGTTTAGCTTCTTTATAAACTGTTCATATTGTATAGCCAAATGCTAACATTTGTTTATGCACTTGTAACATGCACATTTTTTCCTAGCGCTCCCCACCTCCCACCCACCCCCCAACCCTTTGAATATTACACGACCCCCCCCCCCCTTGCATATACTGCAAGACCCCATAACCACCTTGAGTCTGTGGCAAGGACCACACACCCCCCCAACACCCACCCAACAAAATGTGATTAAAAGAGAATAATATATTCCGCAACAAGAGAAACAGAAAGTATGGAGATATGTTTTCAGCAGAATGTGTTCTTAATATATAATTAAATGCTCATGTTATGATATTAAGTAGATTTTTAATGGTAGATGTACAAACTGCCCTTGAAAAGAAAGAGGTACTTGCCATTTTGATTAATAAAAAGTTTTGACAAATATGTTACTTATAATTAAACTAAAACAAAATGTAGGTACTTGTACAACAAATTATTACAATTACAAATGTATTCACTTTCAAAACTGCCTGACCCCCCCCCCCCCCCCCCCCCCCCCCCCCCCTTTTCTTTTGAAACCTGATTGTGCCCCCTCCCCCTAGAGAAAAGTGGGGATGGGCTGGGGGTGCACTTCTTAGACTGGAGATCACTGTTCTAAAGTGTTCATTCTTAAAAGGGTAGCTGGTATGTTAAGATGTGGTTTACAGCTAGACTACTCCTTCTTCTTAAAAGTCCATGCAGTGTGGCGTTGGTAGTCATGTTATCTAAAACCTTCTGCCCCGTGTACTTTCAATCAACTCTGACACAGATGATCCTCCATACCATGATGTCAAACTGTCCAGCATCTCTTCTCTCGGTCTCCCTCTGCCTCTCCTCCCCTCCAACTTTCTTACTGTCATGATGTACCCCAGTTTTCTCCTTCTCATCCCATGACCAAAGAATGTAGATTGTCTCTTTCTGATGTGTGCAATCAGTTGTCTTCGTGAGTTAGTTTCTTTCAAGACATCTTCATTGCTCTCTTTATCTGTCCAGGGTATTCTCACCAATGGTCTATAAAACCACATCACAGCTTCCAATACATTGTCAATAATTTACAAACTGTCCATGATTATACACATTTCGCCCATCACATAGAATTTCAGCCTAACCTTAATTAGTTGCCTATTATGACATGCTTGTTGAGGGCCAGTGGATTTATTAACCCCCCTCCCCCCACCCAACTCCAAATATTCACCCCAGAACCCACACAGATATCTAACGCTTCAAAGATGTGGATTAATTCATTGAATACCTATGTGGGTTTCGCGGCCTTACTGGGGACACAAAAACAAAGACCTAATGCCCTCCCCCCCCCCCCCCCCCCCAACAAGCGTATCATAAAGGTCACCCAATTAGGAGTGCTTCTTACAAAGTCAAAGTGCATCTGCCTGTGAGGCGAGTAACCAACAGTCTGCACACAAATAAGCCAGATCAATAAAATGGATGTGCGAGCAAAACTCTTAAGTTCTGGATAGGACTCAAGTCCTGATGTGGATAAACAACCAGAACATTCCATTGGAGTTTACAGCCTGTAAAGAAGAAGAAAAAGAATTCATACACAAGACCCCACCATCACATCACCTACCTCTTCATTGTACAATTTGCTGATCTCCTTTTTAATGGGGTCTATTAGCTGCACCTGGCCGGCACTGAATCCAACCAAAAGCAACACACTATCTGGAGTTGGGCAGTGTTGACTGAAGTCATGGCAGGTCGGAAATGTGCCCTTATATACACGCTTATCAATGGGTTTAGTTAAATCTGCAGCCTAAAATTAGATGTGGAAAAAAAAATTATCAGCTTTGCTATATTAACTTAGTAAATATATGTTGCACGTCTTGAATTCAAATCCACACTGAAAAAAATGTGTTTAATAATCGATCTTGGCTCTCCGGTCAACCCAGCATAAAATACATACCAGAAAAAGTCTTGGGAAGTAAAGCTGGTTGGTATGATGTTGACCATATCACCTGTCAAGTGATGGGTCTATAAAACACTGAGCCCAGCACAATATGCCTGATGTGCCATGGGTGTGAAAAAGGTCTTTACATATTTTATAAGCATCTGACAGTGTAGTGAATTATCTGTGCTAGTGTAGTGAATTATCTGTGCTAGTGTCGTGAAATGATAGTCATTACACATCGGTTTGTAAGGCTGATAACCTGTCTTACCTGTAATCTGCACAAAATTCAAACTTGGACTCGCCCAGAAATATATAGTCTCTTATATCTATATATATAGGCCTGTATTGGACAACATTATTATGTCTGCCTTTTCTGGTTACTTTAACTAAACCCCACTTTTAAATGTATTTCTTTTGGGGATATATTTAGGGAGTTAATTGAGGTTTCTTGGAAACCGATTTACTCCTTGCCCCAGTATACAAGGAACTTCTTTTGTACCGACGCCTGAAATGTCTAACTGACGCCATTCTCCTTGCCAGCTTCTCAAGCCTCCAGATGTGTTAATCTGTGCCTGTATACTTTAAATTTTCAAGGCAATCTGGATAGATATTAGTTTTACATATGCTTGGGATGTATATTTTCTGAAGAGCTGGCAGAAGATTCACAGTCTCAACAACATCCAACCACCAATCCAACCACCAGAACCAACTTGTTACCCACCAGATAACACCTGTGCAGGTTCCTGACATCTCCAAAAATGGGGGAGATTGTGCCTCAAACAGCTACCAGTGCCAGAGTAATGTGGCTCTAAGACATTGTGTGTCCTTACTGGTGATATAGACATGCGAGATACCAGTACAGTTGCTGTACAGTGAAGTACTCTTGCTACTTGATCCAGTGGAGCAGAATTCCCAGAGTCAAAGACAGTCAAATCATCCGGAGCTGAGGGAGGCATCATAGACAGAGATAAGAGAAGATAAGTCTAATGCTTCACATGATGTTGTGTTCCTCACAGCTCCCTGTGTCCAATGATGAGAAGATGTCACCTCCAGGACCGGCTGTCTGCCTAGTTTCCTTAGGATCTAGACATTAGTGCTGAAATTCTTTCACTGATAGCTGGAATTCACTTCAATTGTTTTTGTACAGATATTATACTAAATACATGCATTCATTTTCATGGCTGACTTAGGTTTCTCTATGTCACCTTCTTAAGTGTTTAGCAGTTGTATGTGTATGTATCTTCATTATATGTTTAACATGGTTTATGATAATGAACTATCATAACCGGGGGCTTTCTTTAGTAGGTAGTGGGGGTGTCCCAGCACAGTGTGCCTAGAATAGATATATATATATATATATATATTATATATATAATATATAATATAGCCATATTTTTGTTAGTGCCAATACTTGAGTTGCCCTACTCCCAGAAGATAAGTTGATCGTATATTGGCCACGGGGAATCCCCTTAGACCAATACGAAGCCAAACGACTTCAACGAAATTCTCTCTGAGTGCTGCTGTTTTGAGGAGAAAATCCTTACATTAGGC